ACGCCATCCATTAAATGTCTAAGGAATTTAGCCATTGTTATGCCAGTTTCTACATATAGGATATAGACATTACTACTTCTTCAGACCTTTGCCAGCATAGGGATTTTATCATTCACTGAAAACAGTCAACAAATACAGTGGCTCTCCCTTAACTGTGGTTTCACCGTCCATGGCTTCCATGACCCACAGTACACTACAATGAGATATTTTGAGAGAGACTATATTCACATAACTTTTATTAAAGTATATCGTTGTAATTATTTTGTTTTATTATTATTCATTGTTGTCAATATGTTACTGTACCTAATTTATAAATCAAATTTTATTACAGGTATGAATGTATAGGAGAAAACGTACTATGCATATTCACTGTTAGTCAGGGTTTCAGGCATCCACTGATATCTTAGGACATATCCCCTGAGGATAAAGGGGGAATTACTGTAATGCACTGATGTTAACACACATTTTTTAAAAGTCAGTCCCTTTGTTGAAAGAAAATGTCTAAAAATAATAGTAATTAATAAATAAAAGGAAAAAGAAAATATTGTTTTTGTGGCTCTTCCTTTAAGAAAAGAATTCTTTTAATTGAAAGGTGATCATGAAACAAAATATTTAGGCACAAAATAAGTATATTATTTTCAAGTGATGTATAATAAATATTTTATCATGTGCCGCTGAAGATTGGAATTAAGGCTCTTTGAACTAAACAAAGAGCTTTGTTGACTAACTGCTCCGACTGAGTCAAATGTACCAAGAAAGATTATACTTGACTGTAGTTTGTATTACATGATGCCTAGTATTTCTGCTTTTATTCAGTTTATTATATAAAAATAAGAAATATTATTATTGAAGACAAACCAAAGAATACAATGACATAGCCAACATGAAAGACGTAATAAAAACAGCAAGAAATAAATTTAGATTCCCAGGAACTTTATATGACAATTTATTAGAATTGTCATACAAAGAATATAAAATTACGTTATGTATGCATTACTTAAAGAATAAAACATATATCTTTCTAAAAAGCCACAAAATAAAAGATTAACAGGTTGGATGCGGTGGCTCACGCCTGTAATACCAGCACTTTCTGAGGCTGAGGTGGGTGAATCATGAGGTCAGGAGTTGAAGGCCAGCCTGGCCAAGATGGAAAAACCCCGTCTCTACTAAAAATACAAAAAGTAGCCAGGCATGGTGCAGGCACCTGTAATACCAGCTACTTAGGAGGCTGAGACAGAGAATTGCTTGAACCCAGGAGGCAGAGGTTGCAGTGAGCTAAGGTTGCACCACTGCACCTCAGCCTGGGCAACAGGATAGGACTCTGTCTCAAAAAAAAAAAAAAAGAAAAAGAAAACATTAACAAACATAAGACCACTTGGAGGAATTAAAAACTTCTAAAAATAAAAAATTAAATAGTTGAAATTAAGAACTCAATGGATGCATAAATTAGTGGCAACTTATGTTGCCATTCAAAAATCAAAATATTTGAATTGTTTGTTAGCAAGACAAAAATAGGCATGAAACAGTTGACAGAGAGGGGGAGAGAATAAGTTAGAAAATATCAGTAGAGGTTGTATCTTGGAAAATAAGAAGGTCAATCATTTACATAATTGGAATCTCACAGAAGAAAAGAGTAGGAATGGAATCAAGTAGTACATGAATATATAATAAACAGAAAACTCCCAAAGTAAAAAAAAACACACCAAAAAAAACAAAAAACATTAATCCACAGAGACAAAAAACACAATGTACCAGAATTATAAAAATAAATACATAAAAATAAAAATGAGATAAAAAACTTTTTTAAAATAGTTAAGATATATCTAAACACACCACAATGAAACTCTAAAACACCAAAGGCAGAAAGAACTTAAAAGTATTCCAAAACAAAACAAATGAAAAGTTTCTAAAACAACACAGTTAATCTGAAAGCATATAACAAAACATTTATATACAAATATGTCATTTAAAATATTCAAAAAAAGACCATTAACCCGGAATTGTTTATCGGGAATAGTTTATCTGCTCAGCAAAACTGACTTTCAGAAATAAGAGCTTTATAAACATACTTTCAGATAAATGAAACAACTGAATTTTTCCCAACAATTTACCTCTACTATAGGATGTCTAATGTATATGCCTAAAAAAGAAGATAAATAATCCCAAAAGGAAGATGTAAGTACAGATATCAATAAGAAACACAGAAAACGTTAAACATATCAGTAAATCTAAACAGAATTTTAAAGCAGAAGAAAAATGATCATAAAAATAATGTCATCTGTGGGATTTAAAAATACAGAATTAAAATACTAAATTATTCAAGAGAATGAGAAGACAAGCCACAGATTCAAATAAAATACTTTTAAAAGGCCTATCTGATTATATATATATAATTACAAAGGACTCAAATTCAACTCAAATTTAAACAAAAAGAAAATTAAAAACCTGATTAAAAATGAGCAAGACATTAATAGACAACTCACCAAAAAAGATACACACCTGGCAAATAAACATTTGACAAGATTTTCACATCATATGTCATAAGAGAAAGTCAAATTAAAACAATAATAAGATACCACTACACACCTATTAGAATAGCCAAAATCTAGAAACTGCTACAAACACTAAATTCTGGTGAGGATGTGAAGCTACAGGAATTCTCATTTATTGCTGGTGGCATTAGAAAATGATACAGCCCATTATAAAGACAGCTGGGATGTATCTTACAAAAGTAACCATATTTATCATATGACTCAGCAGTCATATTCCATGGTATTTACCCAATTGAGCTGAAAACTTACATTCATACAAAAACCTGCACATGGATACTTATAATAGCTTTATTGATAATTGCAAAACTTGGAAGCAACCAAGATGTCCATCAGGAGGTGAATGAGTTAGAAAATTTTGGAACATTCAAGAGTGAAATATTGTTCAGTGCTGAAAAATGAGCTGTCGGAGCATGAAAAAACAAAGAAAACTTACATGCATATTATTAAGTGAAATAAGCCAATCTACAAAGGAAACTGTACTAGTCTATTCTCACACTGCTATAAAGAACCACCTGAGACTGGGTAATTTATAAAGAAAGGTCTAATTGGCTTTCAGTTCTGCAGTCTATACAGGAAGCACGGCAAGAGCAGACCTCAGGAAACTTAAAATTGTGACAGAAGGCAAAGGGGAAGCCGGCATGTCTTACACAGCTGGAGTAGGAGGAAAAGAGAGAAAGGGGAGGTGTTACACACTTTTAAACAACCAGATCTCATGAGAACTCACTCAGCATCATGAGAACAGCAAGGGAGAAGTCCACCCCTGTGATTCAATTACCTCCCACTAGGTCCCTCCTTTAACACGTGAGGATCACAGTTTGACTTGAGATTTGGGTGGGGACACATAGCCAAACCATAACAGCTACATATGGTATGATTCTAACTCTATGATGTTCTGGAAAAGGCAAAACTATGGAGGCAGTATAAATACCAGTGATTGCCAGGGGTTTGGGGGAGGGAGAAATGAATAAGAAGATCACAGAAAATTCTTAGGTCAGTGAATCTACTCTGTATGATACCATAATGGTGGATAGAGGTCCTGATACATTTGTCAAAACACACAAAATGTACAATATGAAGAGTGAATCCTAACGTAAACTACATACTTTGGGTGACAATATATCACTGTAGGTATATGGGTTATACCTACCACTCTGGTGATAGGTTGACAGTGGGGAGACCATCTGAGGGGCAGGTTGGAATGCATGGGAACGCTCCCTATTTTCTACTTAATTTTGCTGTGAAACTCAAATTGCCCTAAAAATTAGACACTATTTAAAGGAGGAAAAAGGTACTAAACCACAATAATCACTCATGAAGGCATGATAACATGTAATGTGTTCCAAGGTATTTGTGTTGCTTCAGAGTATCTCCAAAGAAAAGAAGATTTTTAAAAAAATTAATAAGTAAAATATGCTGTTTGAGAACAAACATTACATGAATATAGCATTATTAAGTTTTAAATCAGTTGGGGGTAATATGAAAGAACAGAGAAACAAAATGCTCAAGAAAGAAGAAAAAAGAGGCATAGAACTAGTGGAACAAATGTAAAGCAAAAATGAGATGTTGGAAACTAGTTCGAGTATTTTTAAAGCATTAACCACTACTATAAATCTTTCCAAAAAGAAACTAGAATCTCTGATCATTTATAGATCTTCCTTCTTTCCTTTGGAATGTATTTCCAGAGGTCCTAATGAGCTTATAAAGCTGAACAAAAGGCATAAATAAGAATTTCTTCTCCATAGGGAGCCTGGCTCAGAGAAAATATAGGCAGAATCCCTTGGACTGAGATTTAAAATGAAAAACAGATTTAATGTGAGACATTCCAAGGTATATTTGAATCACTCAATATCATCTATCCCAAATTTTTTTAAATCTCAAAGAAGCAGCTGATACATTAAAAAGTAAATAAATATAAAAGTCCCACTGTGGCTGACCTCAATCTCGAATACAAAAGAAAAAACATACAACTAATGAGTCATACAACAAAATGTCAGGGAAATGGTGGAGGACCATTCAGAAGCCTGAGACTGGAAATGATAAAGCAGGCAAGTATACAAGCTGTCCCCCAGCACCTTTCCCCACTTCACCCATACACTGCTCCTTACGGGGCATAAAAGAGGTTCCCCCTGCTCTTGACTGTGCTAGATGTAGAGAATGGATGGGACGTCCCCTCCCAAGACTTCAGAGCCACAGATCTTAAGAGAACTGGAAGCTTTCGCTTCCTGCCTCTTGGAGCTGTTGCAGAAATAAAACCCCATAATTTGGCCAAGTGCAGTGGCTCATGACTAATCCAAGTGCTTTGGGAAGTCGAGTTAGGGGGATTGCTAAAGGCTGAGAGGAGACTAGGAGTTTGAGACCAGCCTGAGAAACATAGCAAGATCCCATCTCTACTAACTAACTAACTAAATAAATAAATAAAGTTAGCTGGGTGTGGTGGTGCATGCTTACCTGTAGTCTCAACTTCTTGAGGGAAAGTCACTTGAGGCCAGGAGTTCAAGGTTGCCATGAGCTATGATGTCATCACTGCACTCTAGCCTGGGTAACTGAGCAAGATCCTGCCTTAAAAAAAGAAAGTAACCATTAAAAAAAGTATAGCTTCCTCTCTCTACAAATGTAAAGGGAAACAGTTTTACTATTAAATAAGCATCAAGGGCCAGCCGTGGTGGCTCACACCTGTAATTCCAGCACTTTGGGAGGCATAGGCAGGTGGATCACTTGAGGTCAGGAGTTCAAGACCAGCCTGGCCAAAATGGTGAAACCCCATCTCTACCAGAAAATACAAAAATTAGTTGGGCATGCTGGCGTGCACCTGTAATCCCAGCTACTCGGGAGGCTGAGATAGGAGAATTGCTTCAACCCAGGAGGTGGAAGTTGCAGTGAGCCGAGATGGCATCATTGCACTCTAGTCTAGGCAACAGAGTGAAACTCTGTCAAAATGGAAGGAAGGAAGGAAGCAAGGGAAGGAGGGAAGGAGGGAGGCAGGCATTAAATGAATGTGATGTGCATCACGGCAATACACTAACAGAAAGAAATCTCACCATTTTATATAGTCAAGCAGATACAATGCAAAACATACGCGTTCTAAGGTAAATAGTCCTCAAGTAAGACAACTCAACAGTGCTATTGGTCCCACGTAGTTCTTTCTAAATTTACATGGTAGTTGGAACAACCATCTGTGTTAGATAATTGCCTTAACCAAAGAAAAATAAATTTATCATGTCTTTACATCAGGAGGTAGTTTTGCTACTTGGAGCAAGGCGCCTGCACAAGTTAGACTCCTACCCACCACAAAAACTGGAAGATGGAGTGCTTCTTTCTGCATAATTCCATTCCAAAGAGATGGTTCCCAGGTACTGGAGAAGAGCATTTTTGAATGGTAAACCTGGCAAAATAGACTTTTAAAAATATTTTACATCTCAAAGTGGCAGAGGGATAATTTACAAAGGCAGATTTTCTAAAATAAGTGGTCTAAAACAAAAAAAGGAAGGGAGGGATTTCTCGGCCTTTCATGCATTGGGAAGAATTTTCTTTTTTCCTATTAAGCACTATATTTACCTCAACAGTGCTCAGTTGCATCATAAAAAGTTCCAGATTCAGCTCAACAGTGAGAACCCAAGCACAGCCCACTTCCACACATTGGAGTCATCCCAACAGAGGTCCCAGATGTATGAGTGGAACGCCACTTCAACCTTAAGGCTGAGAAGGAAGACATCACGTGGAGGGAAGGAAGATGAGCCATCCCTCCTGTTCCCATCTCAAATCCCTTTTCCCACGGTTTCAGGAGCAAATATGAATAAAGTGATCATTGTTTGAAGCCACATCAGTGTAAGCAATTGAAAACCAAAGCATATCTTTGAAAGTTCATACAAAGTCAAAACTAAATGTTAAAAAATGGGCCAGTCACAGTGACCCACATCTGTCTTCCCAGCACTTTGAGAGGCTAAGGCGGGAGCATCACTTGAGCGCAGGAGTTCAGTACCAGCCTGGGCAACAAAGTGAGGCCTCATCTCTACAAAAAAATCAAAAATTATCTGGGTGTGGTGGGTGCACACTGGTAGTTCCAGCTACTAGAGAGGCTGAGGCAGGAAGATATCTTGAGCATGGGAGGCTGAGGCTACACTGAGCTATGATCATACCATCCTACTCGAGCCTGGACAACAGAGTGAGCTCTGTCTCAAAAAATTTATAAAAAATAAATTTTTAAAACAAAATCAAATAACAAATGAAAAGCTACTTTTTATTTGTTGTCTCTTCCAGGAGCACACTTTCTCCCCAGCTTGCTCTCCTTCTGATGGAGTAAATTCTAATTATTCTCTGAGTTTTCATTGAAAAATCACTTTGTAAAATTAATTTTTTAGGGAAGATTCTCTTCTAAGCTCTTAAACTAAATTAGGATCCCTGCTATATGCCTCTCTTCATATGAGTACTTTCCAATAAAACGTATCATACTTTATGGTAATTCTTTTTTATTACATGTTTTCCCGCATATTAGGGAAGGTCAGCTATTTGCATTATTTACCATTTTCATAAATAAATACTTAAAGCAGGGGGGTAGAAAAAGTGAGGGAAGAAAATTTTAACTTAATATCATGACATTTTTCTAACCATCTGGTTGTTCATAGTTTTAAGTCGACTGTCTTAAATATTGAGCTACTCATTACCAAAGGTATCCAGGTATCAAGTCAGTAGATCAACCCTTTGCATCCCATGGAAAAGGCTTCCTAAACATTCCTACTGTAAATGGCTTTGTTTCTGAACCAACTGTTCTGCTTGCTCTTCATTCTATATCTTTAAAATTTCTGGTCTTATGATTTCCATTTAGAGACTGCTCTTATATCTCAGATTTCTGATCAAAAATACTTCTCTGGATTTGAAGTTCACTTCCTTTCTGAACATCATTCAGACATTCTTTTCAGTTATGTTGCCTTTGCCACTCCTGGTAAATAACTCATTCAGGTGTTCTCAACTCTAGGATTTCTAGCTGGAAGAGCTGGTTCTTCAAGATTAGACTTTCCAACCACCCCTACTGTATTCAACTCAGTCTTGACTGGAGAAACCAGAAAGTAACTGGCATTAGCTCAAAAATCTAAATATTTCAAGATGAAGATGACCTTAAACTTTAGAAAGTGATTTGACATCTAGTCAACATGATCATTGATATACTCCCAGTAGAGCACTAAGTATCTATCAATACTAAAGTGTTTGCATCATACTCAAGACCATTATTATGTGTCAAAATAGCTCAAGAATCTTAAAAGATTAGCAAATGTAACCACCAATACAACTCTCTGAGATAAGCACTATTATCCTCATTCTGCAGAAGAAGAAACTAAGGCAGAAGGAGGTTGAACAACTTACTCAAGGGGACATCTAGTAAGTGATAAAGCCAGAATTCAGGTTCCAGCATTCTAGCTACATCAGAGAGAGGTCCCCTGTGTTAGCTGGGTAGTCTTTCAGAAAAAGTTTATAAACCATAAGACTGAAGTAGAGGAAAAAAGGAATTTTTATTTGTAAGAATCAGTTAACAAAATAGACGTCTCCAGATATTATCACTTCAAATGAAAAAGGCCAGCTGTGATACTGTGATTGAAAAATCATATTTGAATAATTGTATCATGGAGAAGCCTTTGAACTTGACCTATATTTACTTCAATAGAAAGGAAAGACTGCTTTCTTTTGATGAATATATTTAAATTGTGTTTGCTAGATAAAAGGCAACACTGCAATTAAAGTAAAATCTTGAGGTGAGGAGGAACATATCTAATTAAAATTCCTATGGGTATATTATTTAGAAATAATGGGAAGAAAATAGTTGAGAATAGTTCAGATTAAATGAATATGATGATATTTTACACAAATTATTAATATTGTTTTTCTCATTGAAGTCAAAGTTTATAAGTAAATCAAATTATTAAAGAAAATTTTCTATTTTAAGAAAGAAATTTTAAATAAATTTTCTATTATAAGAATACAGATGATATGAATGAATCCATCTTACTGTAATGTGTTTACTATAGTGTTCACGAGGCATTAAAGAAAAAAAGAAAAGCACAATATGGAAACTGAAGTGTCATTCAAAATACATTAACTACATTGCCACTCTTTTAAAATTAAGAATAAATCTCCTTAAATCAAGCAATACTGAGGACTTAAAATGTATTTTTTTTACAAATTCATAAAAAGAAGTTTACTTATGTATTTGGTCCTAAGCTTAAAAAAAAAAAAAAGAGGGGGAGAGAGAGAGAGGGAAAGAAAAAAGGAAAAAACATAATGGTTTAGGACCTGCTAAAAAGCTCCACCTGGCCAGGCTCAGTGGCTCACGCCTGTAATCCCAGCACTTTGGGAGGCCAAGGCGGGCAGAATACAAGGTCAAGAGTTCGAAACCAGCCTGGCCAACATGGTGAAACCCCATCTCTAGTAAGAATACAAAACTAGCCGGGTGTAGTGTCGGGTGCCTGTAATCCCAGCTACTTGAAAGGCTGAGGCAGGAGAATCACTTGAACCTGGGAAACAGAAGTTACAGTTAGCCGAGATTGTACCACTGCACTCCAGCCTGGGCCACAAACCAAGACTCTGTCTTGAACAAAAAAAAAAAAAAAAAAAAAAATCCATCTGGATTTCTCATCAGCAATTTAACTGAACAAGGTCTTGTTTCCCAAATGTACTCTACCTCCAAGATGCCCGTACGACCATGATTTGTGTTGCTCAGCTTGGAACCAGCTCTTTCAGCCTGATTATGCAGTGGCTGGGGTAGCTCAGTTCTTTTGTTTGCAATGCCACTTTCCTCTGCCCTTCCTTTCTCCTTTCCTCTGCCCTTCCTTTCTCCTTTCTACAATCTGCTTTACTCCACCTTGCAGTACGTTTCCTGTGACCTAGGAAAAAATAACCACAGAGCCCACCTAAAAATAACTAAACTACTAAACAACTACAGACACTATAAATCCACTCTGTGGAAACCAGTTAAAGTGTTCCTCTCTGGCTCAGTGAGTCTCAGGTCCATGGGGAGGAAAAGAGGCAAATCTTTAAATAGCATTCAGGAAAAGCTTTTTGGAGAAGGTGATATTTTAAGCAGAGGCTTGGATGATGAGAAAGAACTTCAAGAGATAAGAATGTGCCTTTTTTTTCCACAAGGGGAGTAAAAGCAATAAGAGTGATAGGAGCTTTGATAACAACGACCAAGAAAGGAGGGGCGGGTTAATCATGATTAACACGATTATAATGTAAAAAGCAAATAGAAAGTGAACACCCGCATTGAAGAGGTAGGTGAGTTTCAGAGTCATGCTGAGGAGTTTGATCACGGAGGGGACCCTAAGGGCAATGAGAAGTATCCAATTAGTTTCCTTTTGCTAAAGCAATCTAGTGTTCTAGAGTTAGAGGTGAGAGGATTAATTGATGAAGTTAACACAGGTTTTTAGGTTTTATTTATTTTTTGGGGTTTTTTTGAGATGACATCTCACTCTGTGTCTCCCAGGCTGGAATGCAGTGGTGCAATCTCGGCTCACTGCAACTTCTGCCTCCTGGGTTCAAGTGATTCTTCTGCCCCAGACTCCTGAGT